CCCAGAGTCTGTGTCCGGGTGAGTTCTTAATTTTTGGTGCAGAATTCCCTCAGGAGTAGCAAGTGAAGCAACTCACCAGGCTCAATAGGTGTGGGTGGGCGGGCAGGCTGGCTCAGTCTGGCAGAATCCAAGTGTGGAGGGGCTTAGTGGGGGAGAAATCCAGGTAAGAGGGTTCTACGTGGTGGGGCAATCTGGTTGCACACAGGCTCGTTAGGGGGGTTCCAGGTGCATGAGCAATGGGGCTCGGGGGGGGGGTCTGGGTGGCTCAGCAGGGGAGTCAAGTGCTGGGGGAGTGGGCCTTGGTGGGATGGGGTCCAGGTACAGCTGATTGAGGCTCAGCAGGGTGGGGGTACAGGTGCAGAGGGCTTGTGGGGTGGTCCAGGTGCATAGGGGTGGGGCTCATCAGGATGGGGGTTTGAGGGCACAGGGATCAGCAGGGGGTGGTCTGAGTGCAGGGCAGACAGGGGAGCATCTCCCCGTACAGTGACCCCTCCACCCGTGGAGGAGGAGCAAAGGGGGCAGGAAGCAAGGTGGGGGTGTGGAGCCAGGGGAGGTTTCTGGGGGTGGGTCTGACCCGGACCCAACCAATCCGCGCACGGGAAGTGTGCTTCTCCCCCACCTTCAGCCCAGCTAGGACTAGCAGCTCAGCCCAGCATAGGTAGCAGGCCAGGTGTGGATGGCTCCAGATGCAGGAGAGGAGGCTTGACAGGGTGAGGCTCGTGGGGGGTCCGGATGCATGGATGTGAGGCAGATGGCCTTGCCACCCCAGTGGTTTACCTCTCTGGGTGCCTGAAACAACATGCCCGTGCTGCTGGGGAAGGGTGCATGACTGCTCTTGCAGCTTCCCTTTGCTTCCCTGTAAGAAAGTCATTTATCTGCAGGGAAGCAAAGAAATCGGCACAGGACATGAATTCTGCATGTGCGCAGTGGCACAGAATTCCCCCAGGAGTACAATATTGAACACAGATATTACATGCAAGATTAAAACATGGAGCAACTCACAAGCATTCAACAAAGTCCAAACACTGAACACTTTCTTTTAATTCTAATATCTATTTTATCAATATCAATCCACATCCACAAGTGAGCCAGACAAATTCCAGCTATGTATCTGTTAGGATTAATTTGAGACATGGGGACCTTGGTATGAGCTGGTGCCTGGTCTGCCAGCATCACAATGAGCATATCAAACAGTTTGATAGCCCATATAGCAGAAGCTACATGTCTGCTTTGAGAGATCGTTCAAGTTTTTACTAATCTCTTTGTAGGAGGAGAATATTGTAGATAATCCTGAAGCGGATATAGTTTCCTTGTCCAAAGTGTTCAGCACATTGAAAAGGTCATGAACTACAACCATGAAGTTGCAGTCTTTACTGGATCTGGTTAATTATAGAAAGCTTGTGCCTATATTGGTCACACAGGCTGTACCCTGCCAGTCTCACCAAAACATTAGAAGCTTAAAAATATCCAGTGGGTGTCTGAATGAATTACTTGCCAAGTAATCTTTTGTAACTAGTTGATACTACATTCTCTGAACTCTCCAAGAAATTCATCCTCAAGACTGATACTTCAGAGGTAGAGACAGGAACAGAGTGAAGGGCTAAGAAGATTCTGTATTCTATTTTAGCTGAAAACTGTTCAAGATATTAGACCTATTCCATTGGCGTCAGACTCCTTACTTGCAGGTCCACTTTATGTATTTATGCAGTCCACATGACATTCAGATTCTTAGGACGACAATACCCTCAATTACACTTGGTTTACATTTAGAAAGTTTTCTGTGTATCCATGAGGGTTAGAAGCTTACTTCTTAACAATGGAAGTGTATATTCTCAAGGCTGCAGAGAGAGCGCGTCTGAAACAATGACTCAGGTGTAAACGCCCGCATCTTTCATTAACCTAATTGAAAGGTTAAATGATAATGCTGACATTTTAAGTAACTATTCTATTGCTGATCTTTAAAAAGAGAGGAGAGACATTCAGAAAGAAGAAATGAGAATACACTAAGGGCATGGCTACACTTGCAGATATAGAGCGCTTTGAGTTAAGCCAGCCTTCGGAGAGTGCAGTAGGGAAAGCGCTGCAGTCTGTCCACACTGACAGCTTCAAGCGCACTGGCATGGCCACATTGTGGCACTTGCAGCAGCACTGGGAGTGGTGCATTATGGGCAGCTATCCCAGCATGCAAGTGACTGCAATGTGCTTTTCAAATGGGAGAGGTGGGATGGAGTGTGACAGGGAGTGCGTTGTGTGTATGTGGTGGGAGAGAGTGGGTTTTTGGGGGGCTGAGAGCATATCAGCATGCTGTCTTGTAAGTGCAGATAGCAGCA